CCTCCTCCGGGGGGGGGCAGCATTTTAGAATCAGAGGCAGCAGCACAGTGGGGCAGCAGTCCGGAGGGACGGGGGAGGAGCGCCCCACATACAGAGATTGCTTCACAGCAGCAGCCCCTGTCCGCAGGGGGTTTGTATCAGAGGCAGCAGCATGGGGCCGCTAGCATCCAGTCTGCATGGGGACCTGGTTTTTAAACTGGCTCCCCCTGTTACAATGCGCTGCAGCCTCTGATAGAGAGGCAAATAGTGCAAGGTGGCAGGGGGTTCCCTAGGAGAAGGACAGGGAGCGCATTGGCTGTTGGCCCTGTCCTGGGGGACTATTGAATAGTCGTGTTACCGCTAAGATTTCATGTGGTTATTGAATTACCCAATATCTAACATCCTTACTCTGTACGGGCACACTCCACATTCTAGGAAATATTGTCAAGAAATCAAACATTCCTGAAACACAAGTTCATTCAAAGACTTCTTAAGTAAGTTGTCATCATTCTAGACAGAATACCTGATCTTTCTTTTCCTGTTTCTTCTGATTGTCAGCAACCGTTTTATAATAAAAAATGTGAAAAGAGATAGTTCACCTATTGATCTAGCTCTTTTGAGTATGTAAACCTGACAGCTCTCTTCCATCTTAAATATCAAACATGAAGCAAAAAGATATCAAGAGCTTTTTTCTGTTTTTAGATGTCAGATTCAGGAATATTCAGAAACAATAGCTTATTACAGTCAAATAATTAATACCATGCATATCAAATGAGGCATGATCTAGTGCTTTGGGGGGAAGACAAGAAATCATGAATTCTAATACTCTTTCCGTGGCATTGGGCGAGTCACCTAACCAGTCTGCCTCAACTTTTTCATCTGCAAAGTGTGGATAACAACACTTAATTGCGTTATAGAATTGTTAAGACAATTAATTACAGTTTGTACTTTAAAGATGAAAAACTTGATATATGTGTAAAGTGTTACGTTTATTGTAATAATGATCAATTCGGCTTTAGTGTGTCATTTTGTGGAATAGCAAAAGTGTTTGAATAATGTATTAGTAATTCTAAAATCCTTTTCAGAAGAAAAAGTTTACAATGATTAATGCTGCACAAAGTTCTCCCTCTGTTATTGAAGTTTGTTTCTGTAAAAAAATATATGGAGATATACCTATCTCATAGAACTGGAACGGACGGACCTTGAGAGATCATCAAGTCCAGTCCCCTGCCCTCATGGCAGGACCAAGTACCATCCCTGACACATTTGCCCCAGATCCCTCAATGGCCCCCTCAAGGATTGAACTCACAACTCTGGGTTTAGCAGGCCAATGCTCAAACCATTGAGCAAGAAGGATTTAGTATTTGTTTCATCTCCAGACATATTTACATATTAATTAATAGGAGAGAAAGGGGATTTTTGTTCTTGTCTTATTCTGTACTCTTCCCTGTGAATCTAGTTCTTGTTTATTTTGATAATTATTTGTCTGATACGTTTTTGTTTATGCCAACAATCAAGAAGATTTATATTTAATGTATTAACTTTTCATCCTACATTTCTTGTGATTATCATTTAATTTATGTAATACAAATTGGACCAATAATATCTAATGTTAACTGGAAAAACTAAGACCATCTCAAATCAGCATTTGAAATCGCATTCTACTGTTAATGAAAAATATAATATGTTAAATAAAATAAAATATAAAATACACTTTGTTTTTACCATAAGTTTCTCCAAAGTAATTATTTCCCATGTTTTCCACAATGATTCTTCAAAACTATGGGTATAATTAATTTCTTATAATTTCACGATCATATTTCTGACTTCCAGTAATTATTGATTAATCATTTTAAATGGTATAATTATTATTCAGCAATTACCTCTAGTAAAGGGATACAGAAGATTTGACTGTTAGATTATCAATCTGAGCTGCATTGAACTATGTAGTATTATAGCAGTCCCAGGATATTGGGAAAACAAGATGGGTGACCAGCTTTTGTTGGACCAACTTCTGTTGGTGAGAGAGACTAGCTTTTGAGTGTCTTATTCTCCTAGATCTGAAGCAGAGTTCTATAAGTTTGGAAGCTTGTCTCTGTCTCCAACAGAAGTAGGTCTAATAAAAAATAAGGTTCATGAGGTAATGAAGTCTCCTAGATTGCACTGGCAGCTGTGACTGTGAAGTCATTATCACAGGAAGTTTTTTTAGGGGTCTTGAGAAAGTTGATGGTCTCAGCTTAGACCATCCAGTGGATGGTCTGCTAGAACTCACTGGTGTGCACCTCTCTTAGTCAGATTTCTCTTCTTCTTGGCAGTGAACAGAAGGGGTTTTTCTGTGTTGTGCCATTCATCTTTGGCTAGAAGTGTAGAGCATTTTTGAACAATTATTCAAATGTAGTATCTTAGCAATGAACTCATGACGACAGCGCTTTCTAGTATGTAGGCAAAACAAATGTTTGTTCTGCTGAAATTGTATCTGTCCAAATTGAGCCTCTGTTTGTATGTGGTGTACTATTTCATGAAAATGTGTGGTTTTCTCTGAAGTGTTTTTACTGGTTATATAATATTATATATGATTTATTTTTCTAGCTTGCAAAATACTGTGATACAGTGGCCGAAATCTTAGTGACCATTACATTAACAAACTTTAAACAGCTTCAGATTAAGAGAACTGCACCAGACTGTCACTATGTAACCTTAATTATAGGAGATGCTGATAATCAAGTGGCTTTTAAACAGAAAATTATGTAAGTCTGATCAGTCTGATCATATTCAGGAATGCAATTTTGTTTTATTTCCATGAAGAATCAAATAGTATGTAGCTGGCATAGCACTTTCTTATATTAATGAGACTAACCAAATCTCTGAGTAAGAGGTTTTGTTTTTAAAGCAGGGGTGAGGAACCTAATACCCCAGCTCACGTGAGTGTGGCCCTCGAGACTCAAGGTTCCCACACTAACGCTCTAGCTCCCCTCCAGATTGGTGATAGAAATGTAGCCGTGTTAGTCTGGGGTAGTTGAAGCAAAATGCAGGACAATGTAGCACTTTAAAGACTAACAAGATGGTTTATTAGATGATGAGCTTTCGTGGGCCAGACCCACTTCCTCAGATCAAATAGTGGAAGAAAATAGTCACAACCATATATGCCATATATGGTTTTTATTTATTATGGTATATATGGTTGTGACTATTTTCTTCCACTATTTGATCTGAGGAAGTGGGTCTGGCCCACGAAAGCTCATCATCTAATAAACCATCTTGTTAGTCTTTAAAGTGCTACATTGTCCTGCATTTTGCTTCTTTTACTTTAGTGTAAGTTCTACTGCGGGATGGATTCCTTAGGTCTAATTTTCTGTTGCTTTGTGCCTTGTGCAAAATTTGTATAAAGTACTTCCTGATTTCATCGCATTTTACAGTTGCTTTGCACTGGTGTAAATGGCTAAACAAGGTGCAGGACAGTATAGTAGGTCCCCTTGCATATATCATTCCATTCTACATATCTATGCAATTGAGTTGTCAGTTTTTTTTATTATATTGAAGTGAAATGTAACCGATTTCAATATAAATATACAACATTTACATTATTCAATGATTATAGAACGAAAACTTTTTAAATTGTTACTCATGAAATTTAGGTACTAAATTATTTACACAGGCAACACTTACCTTTCCCACACAGGTTCACCTGGTGGAGGCAGGGAAGGAGGAATTAGACTCTCTCTCCAGTTGGATGAGCTGTACTTGAAAGGAATGGGAAAGAGAATAAAATGAATCTTCTCCAACTAGATGACCTGCACCTAGGTCCTGATCAAGTCCTCACGTAGAGGAAGGCTTGCTCTTTTGCACCTTGCAAAACTGGAATTTCATCTTCAGAACCCTGGCTATCTTAGGGGTACCAGGCCCAAGAGCACATCCTATTGAGAGACTCCCCCCATCAATTAGATCCCCTGAATCAAAACTGATCTACTATCTTACTATTTACCATGCCATTAGCATCACAAATAATGTGACTTATTTTAATAAAATGTATATCACTATCTTACTGTACATTGTGTATATATGTTGCAGGGATTCTGTCTTACTGAAGAATGGAAATTGGACTAAAAAAATTGAAGTGAAAAGAGCTCTTAAATCTGAGGAACTTAGTATACATTTAATTAGCTCTGAATATGGTAGGCTCATTGATATGATTAGCACTTGAAAATATACTTAATATGTGGAATAAATAGTGAAACAAGTTTCCTTTATGCGAAGGCAAAAATTTAATAAACATCAATCAATTTTAAAATGATATTCTATTAATTGTTTTATTATATGACTTACTACTGCACTAAAAGCATTAATTATGAGATTTTTTCCTAATGCAGTTTGATTTAAGTGTCATATTCACTATTAGTCACCTCTCCTTGTCCCGTAAGAGCTAAGCTGAGCCCTTCTTCCTAAACCTCTTTAGAAGATGACTCCATATTTATCCCCATCTGCATCCATCTCCAAAGTTTTACAATCTTCTCTCCATCAGTTCTGAGCCATATACCAATTCTTGATCTATGCTTCTTGTCAGATTCACCTGACTTAACATTGATTCTCTTAATGGCAAATCCTTTGTTGTCTTTAACCTTGTGTAGATTTTTTTCTTGTCCAAAGCTGTAAATGTTAATAGCATCTAACATCAGAAGTAATATCAGTGCTTAGTTGTACTTCTTGTATAACTGCAAATAATGCTACTAACATTGGGTATGTGTACACTACAGCACTAATTCGAATTAGTTAATTCGAACTAAGCTAATTCGAACTAGTGCATCTAGACCTAAAAACTAGTTCGAATTAGCATTTTGCTAATTTGAACTAGCATGTCCACATTAAGTGGACCCTGAACCGAGGTTAAGGATGGCCGGAAGCAGTGCTGGCAGGGCATCAGGTTAGGACTTAGAGCATGGAGCTGCTGTCTCACTTTAGCCGAGGGCTGTGCTTAAAGGCACCCGACCCCCACCCCGGACAGACAGTTCTCAGGGGTTCCCCGCTCGCTTGTCTAACTCTATGAGGGACAGCAAAGCAGTCCTGGCTTGGAGTGCCCTGAATGCCCACACTCGGCACATCACAGCGTGGCAGGGGTCCCTCCGGGGGGGGGGGGATCAATCGGGGGGCTGCAGGAGAGCTTCCACCCCAACAAGCCCGCAGAGCCACCCCAGTCCTCCCCATTGGGGGCTCGTGCCCCATTCCTTCCTCACCTCCTTCCACTTACCCCTCCTTAGCCCCCCTTCCTGATGTACAAACTAAAGGACACGTGTGTTCAAAAATAGAAACTCTCTTTATTGAACAAAACTCGGAGAGACTGGGAGAAAAGGAGGTGAGGGGGGGAAAGAGAGAGGGTGGGAGAGGGGAGGAGGAAACCTGGGAGGAGGGAGCTGGAAGGGAGAAGCCAGGGGAAGAAGGAGGACGGGAAGTATCAAACTATGGTACGCCATATCTTCAGTACTGTGTACAGATGTGATCTCCTCACCTCAGAAAATATATTTTAGCCTTGGAAAAGGTTCAGAAAAGGGCAACTAAAATGATCAGGGGTTTGGAACAGGTCCCATATGAAGAGAGGCTAAAGAGACTGGGACTTTTCAGCTTAGAAAAGAGGAGACTGAGGGGGGATATGATAGAGGTCTATAAAA